TTCCCCACGAAGGATACCGGTACCAACCAAAGTTCCACACCAACACAGCCATCACTTAAACCATATCGGTCTACGCCATACAGTCTCAACGATCTATTGCTGTTTACCTAAAGAGTGTCCCTAGACCTGGGTGTAGGATCTATAGTAACCCCAAACAAACCCTCAAAAGTAAAGCAATCAAGACAATCAAGAGAAGCAATTTTAATGACCTAGATCCTAAGGTATACCCCACTTTTAAGTTTATCCCCAGCAGAGTCGCTAGTTCTGTGATACGGTGGCAGAACCGACTGTTTTTACTGGTTTGCGTTTTGCGTTTTTTTGTTCACAAAATGTCGCGGTAAGCAAGAGTCGCCACCGACTTTTATAATTTTAGGCTCTATCTATTAGACATTTGTTATTGTAAATATGTATCTCTTATATGTTTTCAGGTGTGGCAATCTTAGAGCTTACAACAACAAGGGAGAACAATGATTTAAAGGTATATCATAAGGTTTTGGCTATTCTCAAGGGAAACCTTTGAAAGGAAAGAGTTTTGGAAAACCTTTGGAGTTATCTAAGGGAATTGGAAATTAGCAAACACTTATTTACACCCTGGATTTGATTTATTCATATATTCATAGTTGAAGAGGTTGGGAAATACTTGGGTAGAAAATAGGGTTGTTCTTGGGCGCCTTCAGGGTTGTTCTCGGGAACCTGAAGGCGAAGGCTATTTTCTTTTAACTCATATGTAATATGTTGTAACAACTTTCTGATGTAGTGAATTGTAGAGAAGCTCTCTCCCCTAGAATAGATCGTTTTATCGAACTAGGTAAATAAACCTCCATCTTTTTCTCGCCTTATTTTGTTATATTATCTGTGTACGAATTATTATTGCTGTAGACTATTTATTTTGGTTGCTACTATTCTTTGCCTCACAAATTGATATTGAATTTTGTCCTAATTCAAAACAAGATTCACAACAAGTGGTGCGGTGAGCATGGAACAAAGGGGTATTGTTTACAAGTGAGCACCATGGTTAGATGGGAGATCGAGAAATTTTCCAGTAACAACGACTTCGGATTATGGAAAATTAAGATGCAAGCAATTTTAATTCAAGATAAGTGTATCGATACTTTGAAGAGTGAAACGTTGATGCCTATAGGGCTTACACAGGTACAGAAGATCGAGATGACAGATAAGGCCAGAAGTGCCATTATCTTGTGCCTCAGGGATAAAGTTCTAAGAGAAGTCTCCAGGGAGCAAACTGCAGTTTCTATGTGAGAAAAACTTGAATAATTGTATATGACAAAGTCTTTAGCTCACAGGTTATTTCTGAAATAACAACTCTATTCATTCTGAATGGTGAAGACCAAATCCACACTAGAGCAACTTATAGAATTTCACAAGATTACTGATGATCTTAAGAATATTGAAGTGAAGATTAAAGATGAGGACAAGGCTTTGCTCTTGGTGAGTTTATTACCCAGATCCTTTGAGTACTTTAAGGATGCCCTTATTTATGGTAAGGAAGGTACTATTACTTTGGATGAAGTCCAAACGATGGTGAAATCCAAAGAATTTTCAAAGTCAAAAGATTTGAAGATTGAAGATAGTGGTGAAGGCTTAAATGTGTCAAGAGGAGAAGGTAAGCTTAAAGGGACGTCCAAATAAAAAAGGTTTTACAAGTTAAAGGTAAAATGTTTTAATTGTCAGAAAATCAGTCACTTTAAAAGGGATTGTCATGAGAGAAAGGTCAATGAAGATTATGTTCAAGTTGCAATTACCTTGGATGAGGAAAGTTATGAGGATGCTGATGCACTAGTAGTATCGAGTTTTGAAACTGAGGATAGTTAGGTCATTGACTTAGGTAGCTCTTATCACATGTATCCAAGAATAGAATACTTTGAAACTTTGAAGATGGTGAAAGGTGGAGTAGTTTTCCTTGGTGATAATAAGGCATGCAAGGTCTATGGTATTGGTACAGTCAGATTTAAAATGTTTGATCATCATGAACTTCTTATTCAAAATGTGAGGTATGTTCTAGAACTCAAGAGAAAATTGTTATCTATAAGTATGTTTGATGACCTGGGCTATTGTACTAGAGTTGAACATGGAGTGGGATTTGAGTTTAAGGCGTTATGAATGTCTTGAGAATGTTTTAGAGGAGTATAATGAATTTTGCAGAAATCAAGGGATAAAAATGCATGTTACCATTGAGTTTTTGGGGAATAGTTGAGGTTAAAATAACTTACTTGGTTGATATAAAATTTTCCCAGAGGGAGAATAATAAAAACCAAGGGAGAAACCTGTCAGAAACTATAACGGAGAAAACTCAGTTTGAGGTGGAGTTTCCTATTATAGATGCTAGTAGTAGTGAGGGAACAGTTACAAAGATCTATGATTATCATTTGACTCATGATAAGGTAAGGAGGATTATTGTAGCATCTCAAATGGACGATTATGCTAGCCTTTGATATTATATTTTGAATGTGGTTGAAGGACTGCAAAATACAAAAAGAAGAACCTTCAGGGAGGCATTTGAAAACAAGTGGAGTCAAGGGTGGTTGAAAAATCATACTCGTGGGCTTGTTAAATTACCTAGGCAGAAAATTGTAATTGGAAATAAGTGGATGCAAGTGGCGAGATCAAGATTCAAGGGTTGTTTGAATTTGATCAAGGTTATTGATTAGAGTTTCAATATGGTAGAGAGAAAAAATGTTGTTGATGGTGAATATTGTTGTGTTATTCCTTAAACCTTTGTTGATAAAGAGAAAGAAAAAATATTTTGGAGATTGCATATACCGCGAAAATCAGAAGTTTCAAAAAGTCGATCAAGAAGTCGAAAAACCATAAATTGGAAAAAATCGTACGATCGTACATATGATAAATAGTAAAATCATACAATCGTAGGGACAGTGAATAATGAATCGTACGAACATTGAATAGTGATTTTGGGTTTTTCAAACTTTTTCAGCAATTTCTCATTTTGCGTGTTTCAGGCTTTTTCGGTTCGGTCCGTGGATCCATGTGCGATTGGATTATGATTTTAGGCTCTAGTTGTGGGATATTTGCAATAATTATAAATATGTATCTCTTATATGTTTGCATGTGTGACAATCTTAGAGCTTACAACAACAAGGGAGAGCAAGGGTTTAAAGGTACAACATAAGATTTTGGCTATTCTCAAGGGAAACCTTATAAAGGCAAGGTTTTGGGAAACCTTTGGGGTTATCTAAGAGAATTGGGAATTGGGAAATACTTGTTTACACCCTGGATTTGAGTTATTCATATATTGATAGTTGAAAAGGTTGGGAAACACTTGGGTAGAAAATAAAGTTGTTCTTGGGCGCCTTCAGGGTTGCTCTTGGGAACCTGAAGGCGAATGCTATTTTCTTGTAACTCATCTATAATCTCTTGTAACAATTTTCTGAGTTAGTGAACTGGAGAGTTGCTCTCTCTTCCAGAGTAGATCATTTGATTGAACTGGGTAAATAAACCTTTATCTTTTTCTCGCCTTATTCTATTATATTATCTATGTACGAATTATTATTGTTGTAGACCATTTATTTTGATTGCTACTATTCTTTGCCTCACAAGTTGATATTGATTTTTGTCGTAATTCACAACAAAATTCACAACACATGTGCTAGAAACCCTTTATGCAAGCCCAAGAAGGAGGATACATATGTGAAAAAGCCAATAAAAAATCACCAAAATATGACACTCGATAAAAGGTAATTGGAACTCATACATTCAGAAGGTAACATCGTGCATAGGGAAACAACAACCAGGGTATCAACCATATATATGGTTTTCTTGGGCAGGAATAACGATGAACCATACATTTAGGTTTCTCAAATACGATTAAAGATTGAACTGATGAATCCCATATGGTTCAAAGTAAGCAAATCGTAATGCAAGATAAACAAGGTCCACGACACACTCATTTGTTCTAATTCAACGATTACAACAAGACTACCAAAGGCGTATTGAGGAATTTCACCAATAACTCACATGTCTACCAAAGGCGTATTGTTTGGTAGATTTTTAATCTCCCTTATCCTAACAAGGCTAACAATAACATTATCAAATTTTTTATGATTGTGAGAACTACTAAAGGTAGGATAGAGGGAGAGAATATGTGATACCTTAAGAAGGCGACACCCTCTTAATTATGCATTTTAAAAAGAGAAATATCTATTCACAACAACACACAATAGACAACGAGTAATATCATCATCAATAAATTCCATACCATCTAGTTTGTGAACATAAACATGTAGGTAAATAAGGAAAGCAATATACGAAAAATAGAACTTTCAAAGAAGAAATGAATGCAACTATGGAAAGTTGGAGTCACCAAAAGTGAATAACCAAACATTAAAAGGATAATTTTAGAGAAACTAACCAGAAATTAAGAAGACGCAAAAACCAGAGTCTAAGACAGAGAAGAAAATAATATAAAGCAAAAAACAAAGACTCTTTATTTATTGATGGTCTATTAAACCAAAAAATTAAAAAGACAGAAAGAAAATTCAAATCTAAATTCGATTCAAGAAATTTATAAATGAAAAAAATAATATAAACAAATTTAATAATATTTAACTTTTTTTAACTTCTAATTTATTTAAATTAATTTATAATTTTAATTTAAATTAATTTAAATATAAAAATACATGACAAATAGTAATACTATATTATAGTGTAAAACTTTAAATCACTTTGTCACCTAATTTTTTTTTAAGTTATTTCTTAGAATATTTCTATTAAATTAACTAAATATACATATTTCTCGACACGAACTCTAGATTATTAAATATCATTTTCTTATAAACCATAATGTAAAAGTAAAAAAAAAAAAAAACATACATAAAAATATTTTATATTTATTGAAGAAATATATAAAACGAAAAACATGAAAAGTTTCCATTCTTTGGTTTCTTTTTCTTTCAATTGAACACATCTTCCATCTAGCAGCTGCTGCGACTGAGTTGTTTTTTTTCTTCTTCTCAATCCGAACAATGAGTTACGTTCAACAGGCACGCGAGAATCACGTCAAGAAGAAAGTTGAAGAAGGTACCATACTAAACCCTTGTTTTTTGTTCATAAAAAAGTTTTCATTTTTTTTGGATTAAGAATTGGGTTTAATTCAAATTCCTTTCAATTTCATGATTGGATGATTTTATAGTGAAATTGATTTAATGGGTTATGTAAATTTTGTAGCTTTACGCAGCAAAATGAAGAATATGGCACTTAAGGAGTGTGATGAGTATACAAAGAAATATGCTGAGTGTGCTTTGGGGAGAACGCTTTCAGTTGTTTGGCAATGCCGTCAACAAGCTAAAGAGTTGAATAATTGTCTTCATCAATTGTAAGTTGTGTTTTGAAATACTGTAATTATTCATTGATTCCTTCATTTTTATTTTCAGTAAACAATTCTTTATGGTGTTGTCTATTCGGTTCGTTCATTTTATGATATCCAAACATAGTAGTCTCTATGGTGCTGTCTAAATAGTCCTTCATTGCATAATTGGAAAACATGCCTAAATACTTCTTTCATTATTTAGGGATTATATTGATACACCTCACATGTTTAAAGACCAAAATGTGTGATTACTCATTTTATGTAATTTATTATTGGTTTTTGTTTCATAGAAAGTAAGAGAATTGGGGTTTGGTCCCTAGACAAGTTAAATGGAGAAACTTTCTTTACTCTGGTCATGATGACTTCAGATGTACACAATAGGAAAAAACAACAAATTTTGTGTCGTTCAGAGGTACACTTCTGAAAAGATGTTTGTTTTCGAATTGTAGGGTCAAAAGTAGCCCTTTAAGAGCATGTTTGGTATAGCTTTTTCCCACTGCACCGCACGTTTAGATAGCATTTTACCGTGAAAACCAGAAGCTACAAAGTGTATCTTCTATGCTACCGTGAGTTTTCGCCATGCTTTTTCATTTCCTGCCGCTAAACCAAGCATGCACTAAGTCAAATGCATTTCTTTTGGTTATACCGGGCTGGCACGCGTTATGTTCACACCAAAAGTTAGGTGTGGCTTTAGAGTATACAATTGATGAAAGGGGTGTTATATATGTAACTTTTGTTAGGTACAATGTAATCCAGATCAAGTACTGGATCGTAGGATCTACATGCCAAGGATGCCTGAGAGTGCTACGATTAGAGAAAGAATGTTTCCGTCACTGGTGTGGTCAAGATCGAGCTTTTTGAAGAAAGGATTGTAAAAAAAAGTAAAGAACGCGTCGGGCCTTTTTTTGGGCCTGAATTATAATTTTCAAGTTTTTGTGTATGTGTGTGTGTATAAATACATATGAAATTACCACGTTTCCCTTCGGTAGGATCTTATGGGCCTCGTACTTATGATCTGAATTTTATGATCTTTCACAAGCCCACAAATCCTACTTAAGATCTCGTGCTTGACTACATTGGTTAGGTATCAACATGGAGGTGCAATCATGAAAATAGTAGGTTGTGTAGGGGGTTGAAGGGGTTAGGGCTGGGGCCTAAAGCAAAGGCTTTACTGGCCTTACCCTTGATCAGCACTGAGATTGTAGGCAAATAGCTAGAAGTAGAAGATAATCAAGAAAGATTGTTGCTCTAACTATTAAGAGATATGTAGATTAAAATGGTCTATCATAGTATTTGATTTACGATAGGATATTATAATGCTGTTTGATCACTGAGTAGGCAATTTCGTGTAATGAGAATAAGGTTCCTATTTATTACTGTCATTGTTGTCAAAAGCATCTGTTGATCCTAATGAATGTAATCATTTTCTGTCACTGTTGTATGGATATCATCATCCCTTTAGGCCTGTGAATGTGCATCTCTCAGTGTTGCTATGAAATTCTAATATAATACTCCCTCTGATCACTATTATAAGCAAAGATTCTCTTTTTAGGTTCATTAAATAATTTATGTATCTGATCTATACTATTATAAGCAAAGATTCTCTTTTTAGGTTCATTAAATAATTTATGTATCTGGTCTCTATGTAGACCCGTTACATCAATTATTTAATGAACCTGCTTATAATAGTGACCAGAGGGAGCAGTTGAAAATTTGAATTCGTATTTCTTAAAGCATTTTAGCAGGGCTGGTTATGCATTAGTTTATGCTTAGTGACATATGTTACCGTCTTTATTGATATGCTTTCTCATCAACTTCTATGATCTTATACTAAAGCTAAAAGCTTATTAAGATATATCCTTTCTTAGTCCTCTGCATGTTAAAAAACTTCCTTTTCCCTATTAGATTATGTTCATGGAAATTGATGTTTCTGCATGGATGCATCATGTGATATGCATCATGTGATATCTACAGATTAAGTCTTTCTGTCAATTAGTTATTTGAAAAGAGAACGAAAATACTGCATTTTGGATCATTTCAAGAGAACGAAAATACTGCATTTTGGATCATTTCATTGTGGTATACGTAAATTTCAAAATAACTATATTAATAGTGATTAGTTATCCTTATTATCAAACTTACTACACCGAGAATGTTGTAGTGGGTGTGCGAAAATAGTTGATGAGATAGGATTAGGCATAATAACATTAACAAGGAGCGTTGCGGTCACACCTATTGTAGAAATGATGGTTAAATCTCGACTTACGTGGTTTGAGCATGTGTGGAAGAGACTTGTAGAGTGTAGATCAGATGGAGGTAAGAATCGCTAGAGGCAGAGGACGGCCAAGAAAATCTATGAGAAATTCTAAAGAACGATTTAGAGATCAATGGTTTGAGTAGATATGTGGTCTATGATAAAGCATGACGACTTTGTTTGATTCATGATCTTGATGACATTCTCATATTAGATTTTTGTACCTGCATGGCTATGAATGTAGAATTGATATCTTTATCTTTGTTCTTATCCTTTTATTTACAGCACCAATGATTCAGTCTTGGAGGAAATGAAGAAACAATACAATCTAAAAGAAAGTGGAGAGGGGGCCGTTAGAATCTAGACTATTCGATTTCAACGGCACGATGTATGCCAGAAACATAAACAGTTATACATTGATGCACATGGCATTCAAATTTAGATGTTTGAAAAGGAAAAATAATTTGTATGATGATTGCCACTTAATCTTAAACTAGTGATCTTTTTTAGTACCATTTTTTTTATGAAGGGTGAATGGTGTTAGTAGTTTAATTGACTAAATCTTTAATTTATAAGTTGAAGGAATTAATTGTATATCTCTACAATTTTGATGATCAAAATTGCGATATGCTACCTCTTTAACGCATCCTTAGGAAACACTTTCCCCCTAAAAAAATACATTTAAGAAGCTTTTTAATTTGAGGTACAATCTAAGGTTTGTTGAAAGCTTTTTAATTTGAAAGGTTCAACTTGAACAAGATGAGATAAAACTGTTGAGGTTCGAGAGGTTTAGTGAGAATGTCTGCAAGTTGGGCAGAGGTGGGAAATAGATAATAAATGAAAAGTTTGGCATTTAGTTTTTTCTGAACTACACGACAATCAATTTCAATATGCTTCGTTACTTCGTGAAACATGGCATTGGCAGGGATATGGCGAGCGAACTGGTTGTCGCACTAAAGGAGAGAGGAAGTGGTAAAAGGAATATGAAAATTTTGAAGGAGGTAAGTCAGCCATTGGAGTTCACATACAATGGATGCGAGGGCCCAATATTCGGCAGGAACGGGTGTGATGAAGCCTGAAGGTGGTGTCATGTAGACTTCTTCGTCGAGTTCGCCATAGAGAAAGGTGTTGTTCACATCAAGTTAAAGTAAATGACATTGTTTGGAAGCAGTCGTTGCCAAGAGGAGCCTGGCAGTCGTGAGTTTAACAATAGGAGAAAATGTGTCCATTTAGTCGATTCCCTTAGTTTGCATGTAGCATTTGGCAACTAAGTGTGCTTTGTATCGTTCTATAGAGTCATTAACATGCCTTTTTATTTTATATACCCACTTGCACCTGATTGACTTTTTGTTATGAGGTAAGGGAGTTAGGATCCACATGTTGTTAGCCTGTAAAACTTGTAGTTCAGTGAGCATTTGTCTCCGACATTCATGTTGGGATGCTTGTTTAAAAGTAGTTGGTTATGTTTGAGAAGTAATAGAAATAATGTAATGATTTGAGGTTGAAGACAAATGAGAATGAGTAATGTAAGGTTGAATAAGGTAAGAGGTAACATGTGTGTGGAGTTGAGAGGAGATAATAATGTTACAAACAAAATCATCAAACCGCTTAGGTCGATTGATGACTGTTGGAAATTTTTGAAGTGATTAGAGGAGTGAAATTTGAGTGAGTGGGAAAAGGTTTGTCATGGATATGTGGAATGATGGTTTTGATAAGTGGTGGTATTTGTAGATATGTTTGTTGTGTCAGATATTGAGGCAGGAGGTTAATCATTATGTGAAGGTGATAGTGTATCATGGGAGTCATGAGGTGTGTCAAGGAATGGAATATCATAGAATAGGATTCGAGTAGGTTGAAGAGAGGTGAAGGGAATACAAGACAACCAAAAACCTTGATGTTGTCATAAGTTGAAGATGAACCATGAAGTATTTCATAAAGTGGTCCTCATAAAAAGAGACATTCCTAAATAAGAAAATTTCTCTTGTTTGGAGATTCATGATGATGGACCCTTTTGTGCTTTGTTTGTAGCCAAGAAAACCACCTTTAGCTGCTCGAGGATCAAATTTATGGCGCTCTTGAATGATAGTTGAAGAGAATACAAGACAACCAAAAACCTTGATGTTGTCATAAGTTGGAGATGAACCATGAAGCATTTCACAATGGGAATTGGAACCGATGACAGGAGATAATAGTCTGTTGATGAGAAAAACTGCATGGCTGATGGAAATGTTTCATAGAATCTTTGGTAAGTTGCTTTGGTACATGAGGGAACAAGCTACATTGAGAATATGTATGTGCTTCCTCTCAGCCACTGCATTTTGTTGTGGAGTCTCGATGCATGTCTTTTGATGGAGGGTTCCTTTGTATTTGAAGTACGTGTCCATCAAGAATTCCTTGCCATTATCAGATTGAATTTGTTTGAATGTGTTATCGAATTGTGAGAGGGCCAAGGTAATGAATTGCATAATCAGTTGTCTTGTTTTCTATTTACTTTTCATTAGAAAGACCTATGTGTGCCATGTAAATTCATTTACAATAGTCAAAAAGTAAGAGTGACTATGGACAAATGAATGTGTGAAAAGTCCCCAAATGTCCATGTGAAGTAATTCAAAAAAAGTGACAGTTTTGATTGTGCTTAAAGGAAAAGAAAGTTTAGTTTGTTTTGCATAATGACAACAATCACAAATAGTATTAGAATTATCACAAACAATGAAAAATTTGTGCATTATATTATTGCTAACATTGTATGAATAGCGTCTAAGGCGATGGTGCCAAAGGCTAAAGTTATTGGACATAATATAGTTACATCTTCTAAAATTAACATCAATATGATCAGAAAAGGAAGCATGAGAGTCCTGAGTGAGTATGTAAAGATTATTGCAGGACCTAGCAAGCCCAATCATCTTCAAGGAAGGTTGTTCCTGAATAATGCAAGAGCAATGATCAAAGATGATATTGCGACGATTATGAGATGACAATTGAGATGCATAAATGAGATTACAATTGAGTTCAAGAATAAATAAAACATTATATAGAATTAAGGTTTCATTCAATTTGACAGTTCTAGATTTGGTAGACTGAATTTGAGATCCATTAGGTAGTTTTATAACAATAGCTTTGATGCAGTGATAAGAGTAAAAGAGATGTAGAGAAGAGAAAATGTGATTTATTGCACCTATATCAATGATCCAATTCTTACCTAAGGAACTATTAGCATGATGAAGATGATGAGAGTGCAAACCTGGGGAAGATGTATCGATGATGTGAGAGTATGATTAGCTCGAGGTTTCATTTTTTCTTAGCAAGGCGACACGTTTGTTGTACATATCAGGTGAAACTTCAACCTTGTTATCTTGTTGAGCACTGGTGGAAGTGTTATTTTCATGATCTTCATCATAGCAATCGACATTGTTGGAGGAACCAATTTTGTCCTTGAATTTGAAACCCAGAGGGAATCCATGTTTAAAGTAACATGTATCAACAGTTTGACCTTGCTTGCCACAGAAGGAACAAACCTTAAAATTGGAGAGGCCACGACCTTGATGATTAGGTTTGCCACGACCTTTACCATGTTTCTACTAAAATTTTCCATTGACTTGGGCGCTGTTGGTGTTGGTGAACAACATTTTGGCAGATTCACTAGTGAGATTAGTACTTAATTGTCGTTCTTGTTGCAAGATTGGGGAGAAAATTTTGGTAACATTGGGAAGAGGTTCAACCATGGGAATGTTGGATTTGACATTGATGAAGTTTTCGTTCAAGCCCTTCAAGAAGCATATAACATAATCCAAGTCTCTTTGCTTTTTGAGAGTGACAGTTGCACCACATGAGCAACTAGGAAGGGGTCTTAGGGTTTCTAAATTTACCCATAAAGTTTTCAGTTCATTGAAATGGGTAGTGACAGTTCGGTCACTTTGATGAAGAGAGTGAATTTGTTGCAGTAAATCAGAAAGACGAAAGTGATCACCTTTTGAGAAATGATTAGAAAGATTTGTTAAAAGTTTTATTGCATTATCAATGTAGATTGTGCTTTGAGCGATATTTGGAAATAAAGGCGGAAATCCATGCAAGTACAATGATGTTGCATTGTTCCCAAGCATCAAACAAGGAGTCAGTTTCAGCTGGTGCAAAAATCTTGCCATTGATGAATTTGATTTTGTTCTTGCTAAGAAGGGCCATTTTCATAGAACGACTCCAAGATTCGTAGTTGTTTTTTGAAAGTGGTGAAGAAACAAGAAGGGCACCAGGATTTTCTACCGGATGAACGTAGTGAGGGCTTGATTGATCGAGGGCGATATTATTTAGTTGATTATTATTGTTTGGTTTGTTGGTGTTGTTTTTATAATCATTGTGATTGTTTTATTTATTTAGGGGATCATTTTGATGCTGATCAACCATTGTTAGTTTTGGTGAAGCTCAAAGAAAGAAAGGGTTAAAGGAAGAAGATGAATCTTCCAATTTATACACAACTGATACCATAATAGAGTATGTGTGCAAGAATATTGAGACATAGCTTATTCATGATTGGTGATGTTGCGACGCACTAAGGCAACATGCAAAAGTTAGTTTGGAAGTATTATGGGTTTTATTGTATCCACAGAGATCAGTGAGAGGGATCAAATACCAATCAATAGTCTACATGTTTCTAAGCTTGGTTTAAATGGTTTAAAAGCATAAAGTGCATAAAGTAAAACATATGAACAAGTAAATAATGTATTCTTTAGAGAGGAGAGAACTCATTGAGATTGAATTTCATCTACCCATCAAATATTTAAATCTATAAATCAGTTGTACGCAACCTAAACACTTGTAAATATCATCATGTATCCCTCACATCAGCGTTCATGTCTGAAGTACCGACGAGATTTCCATTATATTGTCTCATTGGTAACGTCTCACGCAACTAAACAACACATAGCATTAAGAATCGATACCCACTGGGGATATTATATATAAATCTATTTCTAGAGTTTAGAACATAATATATGTTCATCTTAAATATAGATCTGAAGAGTATATGTCTATAGCAACTCAAATCTAAATATAAAGCAAATAAGCAAGGATAACATCGATATAGATTTGTAAAATAGATCTTATACAATGCTATGATTAATACATATACATAAAATCAAAATAAACTTACAAACAAACCCCAACAATAAAGAATACAAAGGGAAAAAGGAAGATGAACTAACAACGCTCGCGGTGTCAAGACGATTGATGCAAATCCAACTCTGGATCATCAAGATACAACCTCTAATGTTGTTTTCTAAGTCTCTCTACTCAAAGAATGGTTCTTATGGAAATGAGAGTGAAAGTTCCCAAAACCATAACCCTAAAAGTTATGAAAGAATGAATAAATAG